TGCCTTCTAATAAATGACGTGATGTAAATAGTGAGCACACACACGTACCGCGTGTGCGATCGTCTACACTGCCCGTGAAGCCTGCCCCGCCGAAGTCGCTAACCACGCTCTGTAGGCCATCAGTCTTTCCGGGGCATCGTCCGTGCTTCGGTAGGTCTTGTACTCCGACATGGTCACCCTCTCTGGGCTGTCAGCTCCTACAAAGGCGAGCACTTTGTTCCCCCACCTGCTGGGCCGCAGGGTAAGCACTCAAAATTCATCATGGGCGTTTTGCACCTCGTGACTTTGAAAGTGATTATGTCCCTCTGTAGGAATGTAGTTATGACAAAATCTGTGCTAAGCAGCCTCAGGGGGCCAGAGAACGGTTACTGAGTCTCTAGGAGTTAATGCAGGGGAATCAGAAAGCTAACTGGGGTGAGGCAGTTCTAAGCACAGGGGTCTGTTCACTTTGTGAAGAAAGTCCACTTTCTGGGAAAGCTTCGTGTTCGTATCTGGCTAACCGCTAACAGAAATGCCTGACACTGAAGCCCACGTGTTATTCTGCTGCGTTTCTCAGGGAGCAGACGGGCAGGCACAGCGTGTGGGAGACGAGTTGGCGGGCAACGGCGTCCCATGCCCCACGCCCCCAGCACGAGGAGGAAAAACCTGTCGGGACATGTGTTTGAGGAGCAGTCTCTGCCTGCAGTCCCCGGGCGGGAGCCCAGCTGGTACCAGGCACTTCACGTCCCTCACCGGTTAAGGCCTCAGAGCACTTCACCAAACTTTTGTGCAACTCAGAACACAATACGCCTCCCGGTCACAGACCCTCGGGATTGGTGTGGGCGAAGCCCAGACTCAGCTTTCCTTCCCAAGTAGAGTGCCGGCCCCAGCCTGCTGCTCCCCCCTTCCCCAAGGTAACTCTCAGGCAAACGTCTGGATATGATGATTTCACGGTGCCAGGTAAGCCTCCTGGAGCCCGCCTTACCGTTTTTGGGCCTCAGCTCCGTTCTGTCCTGGTCATCCATGTTATCCAGGATGGCATACCTGGTATTCTTCCTTATTTCGGTCCTCTCTCGTCTGCAAGGAAGAGGGAAAAGCTGAGGTCAGATTCTCAGGGAACTGGGAACCAGGAACTCAAACACGTGGAGGAATGAAGAGTCCACACTTGTGTGAATGATGTGCACACATGGCCAGGTCTGGGTTCAGCGGACTCAAGTGCACCGTGCATCTTGGGGAAACGTAGGAGCAGGACAGCCACCAGCACCCACGTGACTGCAGGCTCCCGGCTGAGCCTCGGGCCAGGCCCCTGGTAGGAATCCTCAGCACCTGTGTGTTTGTACAACAAGCTTTTCTTTGTAATTCTTTACTCAGAAAAACCTGGAGGGGCGTCTGAGTGGCTCAGTCAATTAAGCGTCCGACTCTTGATCTGGGTTCAGGTCATGATCTCAAGGGGTTCCTGAGTTCAAGCCTCCAAGATTAGGCTGACAGTTCGGAGCCTACTTGAGACTCTCCCTTTCCCTCTCTCTCTGCCCTCCCTACTCTCTCTCAGAATAAATAAACTTTAAAAAGAAAGAAA